GAGCCGAGTTCCAGCCACTGTTGAAACTGATCAGCGGCTGATTCCAGGAAGCCGGGGGCAGAGCAACTCTGCCTAGGGCTTCCTGTAGTCAGCAGCTGATCAGTTTCAGCAGCAGCTGAATCTGGAGCCAGTTCCGACTTACATACAAATTCAACTTAAGAACAAACCTATAGTCCCTATCTTGTACGTAACCCGGGGACTGCCTGTAGCTTTGTCCTTTAGCATGCCTTATAAGTCAAAGAAAAATAAATGATAACTGGCATCCCTGTTTTAATTAATATAAGCTACTGCATTACACTTAACATTGAGACCTTTCAATGAAAATCAACATTAAAAGAAAAGCCAGGAAATTCAAAGGTGAAAACTACTTTTAATTTACGATTGTTTGAAAAAAGAAAGACTTGCACCAAAATGTAACTACTTTGCTGACGCTCTACATACCAGGACAATGGGGCAAAAGCCACATCTACCATTAGCATCAAAGATGCTGGACAAAAGTCTACCTTAGTACCAGAGATGTCTCTTTGAAGTGGAATGTTTGCCCCCTTTCTGCCACAAGCACAGTGACAGCAAGGAGGACCAGAAGCAAAAGGACTTAATGTCAGTTGTAACTCCTTGTTAAGGACAACATCTGGAATTCAAGTCCTTAGTAAGCTTTCAGTAGAAAAACACCCCAAATGCTTAAATATGCTGGAGGAAATGCTGCACTGGCAATTTCCAGTTGCTCTCAAAACAGAGGCCAGAGGTTTCCCCCACGAAAAATGGTAGGGCCCTTCTCTCAAAATGACCACTGCCTCCTGTGATTCCCAATGGTATTAAAGGCAAGCTACCCTCAGAGAAAATATTTACTTTCTGCTGTTGGAGGTTACTATCATCCCTGTAAATCCATCAAGAAGAAAAATGAAAGAAAAAATAGATTGTGTCTTTAAAATCAGTTTAATCTAATCTGGAACTATCAGGTCTATTATGCACTAACCATAATTGAATGATTATTTCATGGTATCTCTCCAAGGCAGATGTAAGGTTGTTGAGATATCAAAATGCACAATTAATGCATCCTTAACATTTGGATTGCTTTTAAGTTTAATCTTAATTCTGAATAACCTAGGTTTGTAATGTTTGTTTTTTGGAGAATTCCAACATTCCTGTAATTTGTTTTATGCTAATATACTGTGATGTATCCTCAGCCTTAACTCCCTCTTAATGCATTTTTATTTTGGAATAACAGGAGTCCAGTTTAGCTTTTTTAGAAGAAAGTGAGTTAAAAGTGTTTGCTGGATCACAAACTGCTGCTGAAAAATCAACCAACTTTCTGCACAGAAAGAAAAGGCTCTTTATAATTATTTATTTTTTCCCTGTTCTGCCCCATTAATCTGTTTTCTTTCTCATGTTTCTCCTCTTCTTTTAAACTTGATGGTTTAAAAAAGCTGAATTAAGAGGCTTAAGTCAACTCTCATTTCATATAGCTAACCTACATTTTAGCTATACATTTTCCCTGTCAGCTGTTGAAGGATGTGTCTGTGCTGAGAAGGAAAGCAGTGGTATCTAGAGAATATCGGAATCTTTTTTTCCTCCAGGGAAAGTTTTAAGTGTTAGGCAGTTAACTGAAAATAAAAATATTTTGGCCAAAACCTGAAATACTTCAATTCTAAAATGACACTACAGCACCTCATGATCCCAATCCCTTCTATAGGTGGGGCTCCCAAAATGGACTACATCCCACTTCTTGATGCACCACAGCCTCTCATTTTGGTAAAGGGAGGAGGTGCAACATGGGAGATGAAGCCTGTCTGGGAAGCTTATCCCTGTTCAGTTTTTTGATGAAAAAAATTATGGCAGAGACACTTTTTTTGTAAAATATTCCACTTAGTCAAAAATCCAATTTTCTGTAGAAAAACAGTTCTGGCAGAATTTTCAACCGGCCATAGTGGTTTCCTAGTGGTTGGAGTGCCACTGCAGGAGGAGAGCTAGCACCCAAAGATAAGCACACCACTGTGGGAGGTGTAGGGATCAGAGCAATAAATCTCACAAGTTTGTTTAGTGGCTGTTAAATTTTCTTTTTAACTAGATATTTTCAAAGTTGTTTTATTTCCCTGCTGTCTTTGCAGGTGAGTGGGGGGTTGTTTATTCTCCAAATTAAAATACTCCATACACATGAATGTTAGTAGCTTGAATGTCTCATTCTGGGCTGCCTAGGTTTTCACTTCCTGAAATGCTATTGATTTTCATTGATTGGATAATTAGGACCTATGAAAATCAGGCCCTTTTAAAGTACTTAAGGTTAGGCACCCATAATACTAGTCACTTTAGAAAATCTTGGTCTAAGATTTGACTGAAATCATTCTGCTTGGAAGCAGATCATCCAGTTCTTAACCATCTGCATGTACAGAGCACACACATGTAATCAAGAGTGTTATTAGTCAGCTTTGTACTCCTTTTAACTGTCTGTAAACACAGATTGGCATTCTCACATAAGAGCTAGTCATCCCTGCAGATTGGATGGCCCTGAGTCTATAATAATCTGCTTCCCCATTTCACTTTCCCATTCATGATCACTGAAAGCTGCAACACTTTAGGGAATTTGCAGGCCTGGGATGTTTTACTGAGCAATAATTTATAGCTTCTAACTGATGTCATTACTTGGCAGATAATGATGATCATTTTGAGGAATTAAGGATTCAGACCAAGTCAACAGCTCTTAACATTTGTAACTAATCATTCAGTTACTAGTAATGACCACCAGCAAAACCCATTTATCTTTTTCCTATCCATTTAAAAGTATTTTAGATTGGTTTTCCTTTTGGAAACCTGCTGCTGCCATCAAAGATTCTTTGGTTTGACTCTATGGATAATCAGTCCCATTTTATTTGATAAGCTTATTTTGGTTCCACTCATTGGTTGATGTTCTGCTGAAAGGCTACAAATTTTCACTTTCTCTCTCCTATGACACAGCTACATGAAAAAGGGAGGCCAGGTCTTTGGAGTAGAGGAAGAAGGTATTTAACCGAGTCAGTGGTACCACAAACATTGATTTGCTTGCATTGTGCTTACAGCTGTTGTGACTAATTTGTACCTAGATGAACATCATCAGTTCATCTACACCTGTATTTGGCAGGTAAGGAGCATTTTGGAGTGGGTTTAATAAGCTTTCTAATGCTTTAGTACCTGAAAAGGAGAAGTCTAGTAAATACACTTTCTTTCACTCAGAACCTGCTTTTTTGAAAGGTAAAGTATTCCCATCAGCTCCTAGGCCAGTGGATGACAGAGCATTTGCTGTGTTGTTTTTTTTAAATAGGGAACTTCCTTCCTACAGACATTCAACTCAGACCATCTCTGTCCAGTACAAAAATCACTTCTCTGGGATGTTTTAAGTGTTGTGTCCATTAAAGATGGTTCCATTCCCTTCTCTTCATAATTGTACTTTATTCTGTTTCTTAGGATTTCATTTGGCTTATACAATGTTTTATATTTCCACTACTGTTTGTTAACTATACAGCAACCTGGACTCCCCAGTGGTGGTGCTGGAGCGGGTAGTTGTGGAAATAATAAATATGACTTGTGGTAAGAAATGAGTCAGTTCTTGAAGAGGGAATAAAATAATTATATGGACTGAAACAGATGTATGGAATCCATGATAACACTCAGGTGCTCATATACACTGATGCCAAGGTGTGGAGTTTACTGCAAAATTCCAAGCTTTGTGCCTGGTCTTTGCTGCAGAATTGTGCTTCAGAACATAGACTTCCATTGTCTGAAAAGCATGTCTCAATGGCAGAGAATTGTGAAGAAATTTTTTACAACCTGAAGCAAGTGTAAACTAGTGAAAGTAGCATGAAACAACTACTCTAACTAGAGAGTTTTTCCAGCCATATATTTGTCAAGCAATTGACAAAAGAAGATGTGAAGCAGTCACATGTCCCATTTTATTGGAAAAAAACAACAAATGGTTTGGTAGCATTTATGGACTAACAAAACATGTAGATGGTATCATGAGCTTTCATAGGCACAGCCCACTCCTTCAGATGACTGGAGTTATGAATAGGAGATATGAAAACTCGAAATAAATAGAAGAGGGGAAGGGGAGGAGGGAGAAAAAGAAAAAAGGAAGGGGTGTGTGTGACAGAGCATCATTAAGTGTCTGGAGAATGGGTACTTAAACCTAAGCAGATAAAAATCAGTCAATAGATAGATTGCTAAGACAGGAAGGATACCACTCAGAGCACTGTTAGCATCTTCAGTGGTTATTAAGTAGGTAGTGTCCTAGCCAGCCCATATCACGATTGAGTCCATTAGCATGGGAATTGAATTTGTGGATGAACTGTGATTCCAGTCCTTCCCTATGTATCTGGCTTGTGGAGCTGGCCTGTGACAAGACAGCCACCTGCAGGTCTGTTAAACTGTGGCTAGGCAAGCAGAAATGTTCACCAACAGGCTTCTATGTGTTCCCTTTACGTATATCCAATTTGTGTCCATTGATTCTTTCCCGCAGAGACCGTCCAGTTTGTCCAATATATATATATATAGTAGTGGGGCACTGCTGGTATTTGATGGCATAGATCAAATTACTATGGAGCTCCCCCCCCCCCCGCCATTCCCACAAGAAGGCGGCGTCCAGGGATAGGACAGATGCTTCTGCTGGGCTGATTGATTGGGCTGCCCCAGGCTCATTTGTATGGGGCCAGGCTTGGTTCTCCTCGCAGGGTTTCCTGGTGCCCTAGGACTGCTCTGCAGGCACAGGTGTCCTACCTCACCGCACTCTGAAAAGGCGTTTCCGGCGGGAGACAGAGCCCCGCCCTCAGCTGCGCGGCCTCCCCGTGCTCCTTGGGAGCTGCGACCTGCCCCGGGGAGAGCCGCGCGGCTGCCCTGCTTCGTCCCCTCCCGCCATGCTCCCCTATCGGCTCCGCCCTGCACAGGCCGGCGCTTAACCCCGCCCCCACACGCCGCCGGCCCCTTAGCGTCACTCCGGCAACCGCCACGTGGATTGGCGGCTGCCGGGGTTCAAACTGAACCGCGCGGCAACTCCGCTGTCCGGGGAGGGGTGCGCGCGGGAGCCGCGTGACCTCTCGGGGCTCGGGAGGGAGGGGCTGCAGAGCCTCGTGGGGGCTCAGGTGGCGGGACGCAGGACCTGTGCTGCGTCACTGGTGGCCCAGGGGGAGGGGCCACATGGGAGCCATCTGGCCTTGCCCCTCGTTGGCGGGGGCGGAGGCTGTAGCCGTGTGGTCTCCCCACTCGCGGCCGGAGGGAGAGGGCCGGGCGCCGCACCCCCTTCCTCCTCCCTGCCGGAGGGGGGAAAGCCGGGGAGGGCCAGGGCTGCCACGCCTCGGCCTGGCCCTCCCCAGCGGCAGGGGGCAGAGCGGGGGCTGCCTGCCCCTGGAGTGGGGGGCTGGTGAGCTAGCGACGCGGGAGCACCGCCCGCTCGTATACTGCGTCTTAATTCCTTCTATCAAAACCCTTTATCGACTGCAAAGTGTGCAACATCTATTACAAGATATGCTCTTACTAAGATTGCACTAGGTCTTGGGATCCCAAGTCACAGCCCAAAACCCCATGGTGTGGCAGGACACAAGCAATGAACAAAAAGATGGTCCTGTCCCTAAGAACTTAGGAACAATCTGGTGGAAGACTCATTCAGTGTTTGAAGCTGAGAAAAAAAAATCTGGTACATAAAAGCTGTTCTTTTGCCCAAAGTGAAAGTTAGGGTTAGACACTTGTTCAATGTTTTGTGATAAATACCTTTAGACACAAAATTACTGGGGGAGAGGGGGAAAATACACCCATTCTGAGAAACATGCATTTGTGACTGTGGAGTGAGAAGTTGGTGGCAGCATGTTTTCCTTTAGTCTGTTTCACAGCTATACAAATGTTTCATTGTCCCAGACTTTGACTTAAAATCAGATCACCTTAAGCAGGAGAGGGATTGAGGCCTAGAGAAGTGACTTCCCCACAGTCACACAACTAATCAGTGGTATAGCTGGAATTGGAACCCAATTTCCCTGAACCCCATGCATTCACTTCAGCCCTGTCTGGAAAGAGGTCTGAGAGATTAAGTGTATCACTGTTTTATTGCCAGAAGTTTCAACTCACCCATGAGTGCTCCAAACCCCATTTGTCTCCTATGCCTGCTCAGAGTCAAAAGCCTCAACTGTCCTGTGTCCAACTGAGGAAACTCCAGGCCTCCCTCCACCGGCATCTTCTTCAGTGGACCTATGTGTTCAGTGCATTCTGTAGCACAATGAAAATTGCGGGGCAAAATAAAATTGTTTTTAATACTAGAAAAACCACGACAGTTTCTCTTCATTTTCAAATTAAATAAATAGCATAAACCTTTTAAAAAAAAAAAAAAGCCTAACATTTTTCACAGAATTTCAAGTGAGCCCAAATTTGGAAATTAGATCCAACTTGCGGCAGACTACAATAGGTCTTCATAACGCTGAGTGCTTGTACAGCAATTGTCATTTTGAAAGCACTTAAGTCTCACAATTCATGATTGTACAGATGGGGAAACTGAGGCAGAGAACATAAGCGACTTGTCTGAGACTGCACAGGGACTTAAGGCCAGAGCCTTAAACTTATATCAAGGATATTTAGGCACTTAAATACCTCTGAGGATCTGGGCCCCTTATGTAAGGGCTACAATTAAAGATTGGAAGTTTCTGGCTCCAAATGTTGTTCTAGATTACACCTCCCTAGGGAAGGAAGGAAACTTTATTATTGTAGAATCTTCAGAATTAAAACTTAGCAAAAATTCTGCATGTCCTAAATGATCTCACAGTTAAAGAAAACACAGGCCTTTTTAATTTTAAAACCTTGTGGTAGCTAATAGGGAAAGCTTCCAAATTCATGGACTATCTAACTGCATGCCTTCCCTTTCTTTTTAATTGGATGCAATACTAAAGCCTGATGAATTAGAAAATAATTGTTAGTGAGGTGGGCATCTGTACCTTTCCTGCCAAGACAGGAGATTATTTGATTTATATAGATATACTTGAATTCTGTGACTTTGTTGGATCTGTTTCTGTTTGGAAAGTATGGGAAGTTAAGACATTTTTTCTAAGACCATGATATGAACACTAATTGTTCATTGTCTGTAGAATTTGACTAATCCTTTTAGAGCCCTTGACTATAGAGGAGAAAATCAAAGGAAGGAAAAGGATGCTATATTGGCCTGAGACAGAAGAAAATAGTGGTGGCCCTCTCACCTGTGCAAACCCTAGAAGAATATTGGTGCTAGTTCTGAAGGGCTATTCTAGTCAGAAGAACCAACATGCTGAGGAAGAGCAAAACTCTCATTCAGGGAGCCTCAACCCAGCAAGCACCTACAGATCCTCAGTTTTCCTTTATTTCTACACACTCCGATCCTGAATTTTTAACCCTTCTTGTTTATTGCAACACTAATGGGAGTAGCTCAGAAATAAAAGGTTCTGCAGCCCATTCTTGTCACAGAGCCAGTTCTCTTTAGGTCCCCACCTCCTGTCCCTTTCCTCCCCCTAAAGCCTGTATCTTCACTTGTCACTGTTATTGCTAGCTATTTGTATCACTCCTCTGCTGTACACAGCTGGAGCACAGCTGCAGCTTCTCCCCAAGGCCACCACATGTAGATGTCTCTGCATATCGGTGAGCTGGCTGCTCTTCACAGCTGCTCTCCCACCTCCTCTTAGCTGCTGCTCTCCGACCCTTTCACTTTGCTGCCTTTCCCAAATACTGCAACCAGTGTCACTTCACCCTGCACTTAATCTGGCTTTCAGATAATATAGCTGCATACTCAAACCCTGCCCATTCTCTTCTCTCACAAAAGCACCATAATGATTTCAAGTTCTTCCAGTCAAGGAAGACTGGACCCAGAATCCATCAGTTCGATTCTGTTAGCAGGCCGGTCTCTGAAGTGCAGTTGTAAATGCTTCTTCCCGCAGGTGATAAACTTGTTGTCTGCTCAGTAATCTCAACCTCTCCCAATCTAGGAAGTAAAGGATATTGTTTGGAGGAGCTGAACTGCTTCATTTAAACAAAAATAGATAGAACACAATAGGACTTAGAAGGGTTTTTACCATTTCCTAAAGGCATTATTAGGGTTAGGAACTAACAATTCTAAGTAAAACAGCAAACATTGACCTTTTAAACACTGAAATCAAATAATGTCCTTATCTACTGCTTTTGTCCTCCGTGGAAAGTTTTGTGGCTATTGGCTCTCCACTTTTCTGGGAACATAACTGAAGTTGTTTAATTATATGAATTTCTTTTTATTGAGAGTCAACATGTACAGCTCTCAGGAATGAAGCTTGTACATACACAGCCGCAATGAAATTGAGTGAATTTCACAAATATTACTACATGGAAAGAATTCCATGAGTGTGATGGTACTGAATTTTTAATATCTTAGTACTATGAAGTATGACAGGCCATTGGTAATCTGTGTACAAAAACCAAAAAAATTAACTTTTATGATCTAATTTTAGGCTGGTCAGGGAAATGATACGTAGCTCACAAATATGTCAGTCTGGAGTGGTTTCTGTCAACTGGGCCTTTATTCTACCCTTTTCATGTGTGTGTCACAGGACAGCTTTTTATTGGGGCTCTTTGTAGGAAATTAGAGAGAATCATTTTACATCCTGCTCTGAAAAAAAATGGCATCAAACAACTACTTCAAAGTTCACACACAAGATTTTCTAAGAACAAGTAAATGCCTACACAGTTAAATCAATCCCCGCTAATTCAGCATTTAGTAAACTCTGTCCTAGTCACACATTCTACTATTCCCAGGGAGAGTAAAGAATTGGTTTATAGGAGACAATGGTGCAGATGAAAAGAAACAGAAAATAAAACCCTTTGGAAGGATGCAAATGTAGCTCTGAAGATGTAAAAATTTACTGGAGAGTAATATTTATTGAACTTTCTTCTTAGCTGAGTGTGGAGAGCACACATACTTTTCTCCTTCAATTCAGAGTTTGAGGATGGGTCAAAGCTGAAATTTTATCCAAACCACTTCCTTGTACACACTTCATGAGGCTGGAAACCAGACCTGAGACATCAACAAACAAGGTGGTGACCACCCCCTCTAAATCCAGACTTCTTCTCCACTAAGGACTGAAAAGTTGAAGTTTATCCAAACTGAGCATCCCTGATAACTCTGCCCACTTTTCTTAGACACACATGCTGATGGTAACCTGACCTTCCATGTGCCTCCCCATTCCACCACCTTACTTAAGAATTGATACACAGTATACTAGGTCAAAATGGGGGAAACTCATGCTAATATGGGAAATTTGTACTTGACAGGTAAATTTTAAAGCCAGAAGGTAATGTGCCCTCCTATGTCACACAGCAACTGTTTTCACCAAAAGTTACTCCTGCATTAATCCTATAATTTCTGTTATTTTAGCGTTACTCATAGAGTGGTTTTCCTCAGTCCTTTTGAGGACAATGCATGCAGTTGGTATAACATAGAAGTGTTATTTGCCAGGATGACCGTCTCAGCTGAGGGAGGGGAGAGGATGTAAGAAGGATCTAAATGAACTCTCTGACAGCTAGGTGGGGAGGGGGAGAGCTCGTTCAGACCCTGCTTACATTAGGAAGACATCAAATCTTGATGTTGAAGGCTGCAATTGATAGAGACTTCATCACACCTCTAAATAAATCAATGTAATGGCTAACTACCCTCACTGTTAAAAATGTATTTGGTCTGAATGTGTCCGCCTTCAGCTTCTAGTCATTATATCTTGTAATACCTTTATTTAATAAATGTAAAACCCCTTTACAATAAGGGTGGGCAAGATATGGTCCACACACTAGATTCAGCCTACCAAGCCATTTGATCCATCCTGCAATGGCCCTGCTGCACCCCCTCCCCCAGGCAAATCGAGACCTGGGGGTGGGGCAGTGAGCAAAAAGTCATTCAATATTCAGAGCAGCTGGCGGCTGACAGCTCCCTACTCCCACTAGGGGGTGCACAGCGCCTAGAGCAGGGGTTCCCAACCTTTTTCGGTCCCCATATCCCCTTGGCTTTTAGTAAACTTTCCCGTACCCCCTATTCAACATGAAAGGAAATAAATTCTAGACTCTAGAATCCACAACTTTTTTCACTAACACTACTACTTTTGGAATATTTCAATTAGGATAATCTAATTATTTACCAAATATTCCCCATGTACCCCCACGTACCCCCTTGACAAGCTTCTCGTACCCCCTGGGGGTACGCATACCCCAGGTTGGGACCCCCTGGCCTAGAGGAAGCTGCCAGCTGTTTTGAACAGCAAATGACTTCATGCCCACCTCCGCTACTAAGTCCCGATTGGCCTTAGGGCAGGGAAGCATGTGAAGTCTCCTCCCCCTACCAGGGACATGCAGCACCTAAAGGGAACCGCCCTTCTGCCCGAGGCCCCACCTCTTCCGCATGAGGCCTTACCCTTTGCGGGGAAAGGGCTTTATGTAGCCCATGACCACTATTAACATTCATGAAGTGGCACCGCTGCAAAAATTATTGCTCACCCCGCTGTACAATCAGAAATCTTTACATATATATTATAGTTGAGTCACCTCAACCTTTCTTTTTGGATGAACTAAAGTTTCCTTAATCTCTTGTTGTAATGCAGACTTTCCAGGACTTGAATCATCCATTATTCCTGAAATGTGGAGTCCAGAAGTGGGCTCAGAATTCCAGTGATGCTCTAATTAACTCAGTATAAAAAAATAATGTCACCTCCCTATGTCTATGCACCAGTCCCTTGCTTATATACAGTGGCAGGTCTCTGGTGGTGCCCCTTGGGTCCTATACTTCCTAGCAGATTTTTAAGACATCTCAGAGGCTCATGGTGACCCTCCCACAGCCTTTTGTTTCTCTTGGAGATGAGGGTTCCCTGTTTAATGAGCCATTTTCATCATAGACCAGTCACTAGGTTGGAAGGGAAAACCCTTCCAAGGTCCAAAAAATCCCCTTTTCCCTGGTAGCAGCCCACCAAATGTGGGGAGGGTTGGGGGACCCCAGTCTCACCTGGGTTCTAGCCCAGGGCCCTAGGTAGCAGCCACTAGTGGGGCTCTTGCCCTCATTCCCATGGAATAGCAGCCTCTCTCTGGGTCACCTCTCCAACCACTCCCACAGTACCTTCTTTCTGGCATCCAAGGGCAAGAAAACCTTTCCTGCTTGCCCTTGACCTTGACCTTGCCACCGCCACCTCCTCCTCCCTCCTCCTTTCTGAAGGGAAACCTTTTATAATGGATCAGCAGGCCCTACCTGGCTGCAGGTGACCCATTAACCTGCTGCTGCAGGCTGGCTCTTGATGAGTCCTAAGTGCCCGCCTGTCTTAATTGGTGGGCAGCAGTCTCTGGCAGCCTATTCAGGGAACAAGAACCTGCTCACCTAGCTGCCCCTATACCTGCCCTCCATCAAACTACTGCAGCCTGCTGCCTTTGGTCTGCCACAACACCCAAAGCTCTTAGTGCTTTTGTGACAGTTTGAAGCACCTATACAGGCAGTCCCCAGGTTACACAGATCCGACTTACATCGGATCCCTACTTACAAACGGGGTGAGGCAACCCCACACTAGCTGCTTCCCCCCAGCAGACCAGGGAGACACGAAGCTAGCGCCCCTCCCAGCAGACCAGGGAGACTCGGAGCGGATTTTCTCAGCAGACACCTCAGCTTGAGAATAATACCCTGAGGGAAGTGAGGTGTGGGAGAATAAAACTGAGCTCTGGAGAAATGTTTGGCTAGAGTTTCCCCTACAATATGTACCAGTTCCGACTTACATACAAATTCAACTTAAGAACAAACCTACAGTCCCTATCTTGTACGTAACCCAGGGACTGCCTGTATATCTTTTTTTTTTTTTTAAACTAATGGTTTTTATTTCCATGCAGATTTAACAAGCAAAGCATATTGTAGCCAATCCCACTAATCTTCTTTTGTGCTAGTCCTATGGGGTTTCTTCCCCCTTGAACTGAGTTTGATGCCATGCCATGCATATTCCAGACATCCCATATTTACTTTTTCTGCAAGAGCTCTGCACAGGTCTGGTAGGCAGACTCATGGAGGTGGAGACAAAGTAGCCAGACAAAGATCAAAATATCACAGTTATGTGGGATTCTATTATGTTAATACTGTGTACTCCTCTCTTTGAGGATGCTTTCCTACTAAGGCAATTTCAAAAGAAGTGTGTTTTTCAAGGAAAGTAGTAGAACCAGATCTTCCTGATTTGTGTCTTTTTTTCATAGGAAAGTCTCTAGCTATTTCATATCAAATGTCAGGAAGACTCCAGTCTTCATACTTCTGATGTATAGACATTTACTATTGCTTGCTTAGAAGAAGCCGTATGACTTTTCATAAATAAACATAGTTTAATTGGTCAACCAACCATGTTAAGGACAGCTTCCCATGGAAATATTTTACATCTTTCCAAGGTAGGTAGTGACGAAATTTGTCATTTCATTACAGTTGCCATAGGCAAATTCAATCCAGCCTCTTGTTGCATTGATAAAAGTATTTTTAGAAGGTCTTGAAATTAGTCAAGATATAGCTTACCTTCACCTAGTGCTCAGTATTCAAATTTTAAGCCACTTTAAATAATTACAAAATCAAAACTTATACAGAAATTACCAAAATATGCCCTTATGTTGTGGATATTAAGACATTTCAATGAGCCTGTGTGTGTGTGTGTTGGGGGTGTTTTATGGGTAATAATATCTCCAAAATGCCTGAATCTCTTCTTTCTTACAGTAGTATATAGGAATGTCAAAAATAGAACCACTGAAACCACTAAGCCTAAGGACAGCATTTAATATATAAAAGGTATTGTTCCCATTTGGTCAATGAATTTGTAGTGTGCCTGATACAATGAAATTCTGATCCTTACTTGCGAGATTTTGCAATACACATATTTAATAATGAAACTCTGCCCTCTTTGTGTGCATACATATAACCTTTGAAATTAATAGGAATTGCATACACAAGGGAAAGCTAGATCCTTAAATCTGGATACTTCATTGATGATGTCCAGTGTTTGCTTCACAGTGAACGTCTTCTTTTTCTGATCCCTTGTATCATTACAACAAAAACACTGAAATCTACCCAGCTTCTAAAGGTGATTTTATGATGTTGGTATTTTCGGACACAACGTAAAGTATTTTTTTGACCAGTGGGGTCATTACTACTCTACTACTGAAAACACATGAGTAAAAATTAAGTTCTGCAGTTGATGAACATCAGACTTACTTGCTTCGGTGTATAACAAGAAGAGTGATGCAGATTGCAAAATCAATGCAGCTAACATGAATTGAACCATAACACTCATAAAAGGTTTTGTGTGGAACTCTATAGTTCCATGGTCTCTCGTGCCAGATTTTAAAAGTTTTTAAAAACAACAAGACTTCGATTTTTATAAGCCAATTTCACATTTTCTTCAAAAAACTGACAACAAAGCAACATTACTAAGAATAATAATCAATAATAATATATCCAGAATGTTACCTATTTTATTGTCTTCTTTTTATGTCACTTTCATATTGAAAACATCATTTTATACAGTAAACTATATGCTTTACAAGATCAGGACCCACAGTTGTATTTTCTAATTTTTAAAAAGAACAGAAATACATGTTCATTAAAGGGAATTATGAATGTGTTAAAATATGGCAGAGTGAGGAAATGTGTACATTGGTGGGATGGGGATATAGTATTCATTATTACTGTATTGCTGATTCAAATCCAACTGAGGTGGTAGTATCATCTGATGGCTATTATGCTGTTTTTGTAAACCGAAAGTGTATCTACACTGCAGGGCTTAACGTCAATTGCATATCTTATTTCGAAATAGCTTATTTCGAAATTGGGAGTGTCTACACAGCACTTAGTTTGAAATAGAGCACTCTTCCTCTGACTTCCCTTATTCATTATTGTAGGACGCCCCGTGGACGGAAAGGGGGGGCCCCCCCTTTCTAACCGCCTCGCCTCCAGCGCGTCCCTCTTGTCCCCAATAGAACCACAATTGTGACTCGTCCTTCCCGCTGCTCAAAGCACCGGCCACGCAATGGCCTATCTCGCCGACGAAGGAGGGGGAAAGGGGGTCCGGGCCCGCCCTCGCTCTGGACCCCGACCCAAGGACGCCCCGTGGACGGAAAGGGGGGGCCCCCCCTTTCTAACCGCCTCGCCTCCAGCGCGTCCCTCTTGTCCCCAATAGAACCACAATTGTGACTCGTCCTTCCCGCTGCTCAAAGCACCGGCCACGCAATGGCCTATCTCGCCGACGAAGGAGGGGGAAAGGGGGTCCGGGCCCGCCCTCGCTCTGGACCCCGACCCAGGGCCCTAGAGTCAGGACACTTGTCCTCACTCACAACGGGGGGGGTCTGGGAACCCTAAACTCCCCCGCTCACGGGTTCCGCGGCACCGTCCTGGGCCGCTTCTTCCCCCCCAGCCAGAGTCTACCTCTAGCCCTGACCACCCGGGGTAAAATGCACCCAGGGGCGCCAGCACCTCGTT